TGCCGCAGTCGGAGCAGATCCACGGGCTCTCCTCCTCCGTCATCGCGGCGGGCGCGGGCTCAGCCAGCAGCGACCCCATGGCGGGCGCGAACGCTCGCAGGCCACCATCCGCCCCGACTCCGGGGCCCACGCTGCGGAAGGGGTCACAAGCCAACCCCGCGCCCTCCAGGGACAGCGGGGCGCCCAGGGGGCCGGAGAGATGACGCCCATCGACCTGCAGCCGTTCGGAGAACTCGGGGAACCCCAGTATGGGGAAGCCGTCTGGATGCAGCCAAGACTTAGGGTGCATGGGAAAATGGAAGCCGAGTGGGTGCGAGGAGGGCCCTTCGCCCCCACTCAGGCCGTTGCCCATCTCACGGAACCGCCTCTCTGGCTCAGGGTCCTTCTTGCTGTCGGGGACCGTCGCCTCTGCTGCCGCAGCTACCACCTCCTCGTCCTCTCTGGCTTCAGCCTCCGTGTCTCCGTCTGCCACACCAGTCCCAGGCTCTTTGGTCTCCTCTGGCCTGGCCTCTAGTTCCTCCGGCTCCGCTGTGGCTACAGCTGCGACTGCCATCTCCATCTCGTGGGGAGCCATCCCCGCACCCTCGCCACTGCTGGGTTCCGTGCAGCCGCCGCGCCGGTGCCGCTGGAAGTCAGCGCGCAGGCGGAAGGCCTGGCCGCAGTCCGGGCAGCAATGAGGACGATCGGCGGTGTGCACAGCCTGGTGGCGAGCAAGCGCTGAGCTCTGGCTGAAGCTACGGCCGCAGTGTAGGCACGGGTAGGGCCTCTCGCCCGTGTGCGTACGTTGGTGGGTCACCAAGTAGGAGCGTCGCCCGAAGCCCGCGCCGCAGAAGGCGCAGCGGTAGGGCCGCTCGCCCGTGTGGATGCGCCGGTGCGTGACCAGGTGCGACTTGTAGACGAAGCGCTTGCCACAGTCCGGGCACGGGAAGGGCTTCTCGCCGGTATGAGTGCGCTGGTGGATGGCCAGGTGCGAACGGTAGACAAAGCCCTTGCCACACTCCTCACAGCCGAAGGGCTTGACCGCCGCATGGTAACGCTGGTGCTTGGCCAGGCGCGAACGGTGCAGAAACACTTTACCGCACACGTCGCAAGTGGTCTCCGGACGTCCGATGGGGACAGCTGCTGCGGGAAATGCCCAGGGCGCCAGAAAGTTCTCCCCAGGCACCCTGCCAGACAGGAAATGTTTAGCTTCAACCTCCTCAGTCAGGATACCTAGGCTGCCTGGGCTAGGTCCCCAACCCTCTGGAGTCTGAACCAAATCTGAATCGTCAGGGCCCCAAGTCCCAGGCACATCCCCCACACCATAGGCTGCAGACCACAGCCCTGGGGGCTCGTTCTCCTCCTCTGCCATCTCAGCGAGGAAGTCCTCGTCGTCTTCCTCCTCATGGTCCTCTATGTCATCGTTCCAGAACCAGGCTCCTGAAAGTGACAAGACAAGAGGGTGAGGGCACAGGAGCTTGGCAAGGAAATTGCCCTAAAATCCTTGGAACAAACCAAACAGACCTGTTTCAGTCAAGTCAGAAGTGGTGCATGCCATACCCAGTACTGGCCAACTCCAAGGCAGGAAAGCCGCTGGCCTCCCCTCCCCCAGTTGGGAGGCCTAACATGAACACCTGACCAGGAAAGCCAGGGTCTCTCTAGGGCTTGCCACTCTGGAGGATGGGAGACTGCAAAGTGGGTAGTTTATCAGCAGATAAACTTGTGCACAGAGTGAAACCTGGAGCACTGCAGTCCCCAGGCACCCAGCATGGTACATCCAGCCGTGTCCTCTTACTTACTTCTCAGTAAGTCCCCCTCTCCTTGCCTTTGCCAGTGGCCAGGGGTTCTCTTCCACTCTAGACAGCAGAATCGGGAACTGCTAGCCAGGGAAGAGCCTCTGGGTTCTCACCTTAACGAGGTCCTGGGAGCTGTGTATTTGGGGTCTTGAGTTCCTCCACCTACTGTGAAGTCACCCTGGGCTTCACTTTCCTGAGCTCTGCATTTGAGAAACCCCAGGCCACCTGAGACTGTGTGTACTGTGAGCACCCCTGGAACTTTCTGCCACGAACCCCTCTGCTGAGATGCACCCCTGGCTCACTCTTCTGCCCTTCCTGGGGATGGTGTAGACTCTAGAATCAAGTCTGTAGGACCGCCCTGTTCAGGAAGTGAGCATGTAGACAGAGCCACCATGATACACCCAGGAGACGCAGGGACACTGCCTGCACCACAGCATCCAGGTGTTCAGCGCACCTGTGCGTCGCTCTCATGTCCATCATTCCCACCTCAGATTCCATCCACTTGATTCTGAGGGCAAAGTTCTGGACCACAAAAGCCAGGGGCTGGGCCAGGAAGTCTCAAAAACCAGGGCTGACTTCACATGTCAAGTCCCACACCCCATCAGTCCAAGTTCTACATACTAATGTCATTCACAGGGGAAGACAGCATAGTGCTACATCCATGAAGCAGAGAGAATGGTGAGGGCCTAACTACAGATGTGAATACACACGCTGTTCATATGAAGGGACAAGAAAACGGGTTACTTTATTTTTGCTTAGTCTGTAACACTAAATTTCCCACTATTCCAGTAATATATAATTTAGACGTTTTAGATGGAAAAATTTCTTAAGCTGAGTTTACCTCTAGCTGCCAGCATGGCCACCAGAGGGACAAGAAACCCTGTTGCTCGCTGGCTGGCTGCCCTTCTTTGTTCAGCCAGAACTTTCCAAACCTGGGACGGCAGGCGCAGCCCTGGGGCAGAGAGAAGCTGGCCGACAAAGACATTCCCTAGGCTCTGGTGAGAGGCTTAGGTAGTCTTTAACTAGAGCCAAGTAAATCAGGGGAAGCTGATGCTAGGGGACGAATACAATCCCCTGGATTCTGAGCCAGTCGGTGGCTCTCCAGGAGCTCGAGAGTAGGTTGCTACTTGCCCAGAGTCTGGGAACAGCAGGGACAGCTGCTGCCTTGAGTCCACTACATGACACTGTGCAGGGTGGGCAATCCTGAAAAAGGCCTGGGGGATCTCATGGCTGCCTCTGGAGTCTGCTCAACAAGCACGAGGCCTGTGCTAAGCTCAGCCATGTGAGGGAGGCCACCAGTGATGCAGGGTGAAGCCCCACCCCTAGCCCTGGAGAGGTTGGCTGGCTCCACCCCGTGTGAGACCTCAGGAAGCTGCTGAGCTTCTGGGACAGAACCCGAAGGGGGACCATCTTTAGTTCCTCATTCCTGGATTCAAGGTGTTGGCTCAAAGTTTAGAGGTATAGCCATGCAGTGTGTCATCTGGAGGAACAGCCTTTACACAGAGCCGAAGTCTGTCAGCCTCAGGTGAGGATCCAGAGGCCTGCTGTGAGACTTGACACTCAAACCCAGAGGGTGTGGTGTGTTCTACACAGCTAGAAGGAAGTGGGGAGGGCAGCAATCCAACAGGTGGCCCTGAGGGCCACACCCAGACCCCTGGGGAGTAAAGTAGGGATGGGGGCTCCTTGCACCTAATGTTTGCCCAGAGATCCGACCACGGGTGAAGGGTGAGTAGGCCTCCAGGAAGAGGCAGGGTTCAGAGTCTACTGTCTAGACAAATTGCACGGCATTGCCACAAGGACATCTTTACAGCCCACGTCCTGAACTAGAGAGACCTGGACTCTGGTGAAAGGTTTCAGGAAAGACGAGGGGGCCAGGGCAGGAAGCTGAAACCCTCAGGATTGTGGGTTGTCACAGTTTCCCCCATTTCTGCAAACGTCACTCTCTCTCATGGTGGCTGTCAGTGTGAGTCTTACAGATTTGTCCCTTTGAAGCATAATACTGGGGATTTATAAGCTCAAAACTAGCTTGTTCCACCGCGCTCCACCCCAGGGGATCTCCCATGGTTTACTTCCCCAGTCTGCTGGATGCTCCCAGGACTGCGTAGGCCAAGCTTGGCCCTTTATCCAGCTCCTTAACTCCAAGGACCCTGTGCAGGCCAGTCTCCTCCAACACTAAGGCTGGGGAGCGGGGGTGGGGGGAGGGGAAGCTGGCTGTCTTAGAGGCTGCCTGTCAGCAGTTGCAGAGAACCAGGGATCCTGACAAGGCATGGCAGGCACAGAGGTCCCCAGTCAAGGTGCCATTTTCTTTCCATTGACAACCAGGGCTGAGGTCCCCAGTAATATCTGCCTGTCTGCATGCTCCCCCCAAATCTTCTCCACCTAGACCCAGAAACGGAAGATGAGCTCGGGCAGAGTTTCTTCCCATATTGGGAACAGTCCCCAAGGGAGGAGGCAGACCGAAAGGATGCCCAAGTCTATGGATGTGGGCAGCCTCACTGCGGGTTGCCAGGAAGGTGTCTGAACTGCAGCCTGGGAAGGTAGCCAGCTTCTACACTGGCGTCTGTCCTCTGTGCCAAATGCTGGCCATGCTGACAGGTCTCGAAGCAGGTGGCCCTTCTGGGATGGGCTCTGGGCTGCCCCCTGTTGCTGGTGAATGGCCTCGAAGAGACCAGCAACGCTTTGGCCTTGATGTCCTCATGGGTAATGTACGGATTCAACACCAAGGCCCGCGTATTAAGAGGACCAAAGGCCTGCCTTTGTCACAGGGACTTGGGAGGAGTAAGCATTCCCTCACCCCATCAGAGCCTCCAGCACTTGGATACCTGTCAGCCCCTTTGTCCCAGATACTAAGAAGCCAGCCTCTCTGCCAGACATTCCCTTACTACTTCCCGTCTACCTGCACTAAGCCCAGGGACCTAGAAGTGATAGGGCTCAGTGCCTTGTGCCCTGGCTAGGACCAGAGGACTCTACTCTCCAGGTTCCCTCCAGGGCATGGCTAAGTGAAACTCCACCAAGAGACCCTCTATGGTTCCTAGTTGTTCACAGCTGTGTGCCAGACTCTGCCTGCTCGGGGTGTCCATGCCCTGCTCCTGGTGGAGAGCCCTCTCCCCTGGCCACTCTCCTGTGCTCAGCTGAACCACTAGATAACCGGTGCTTGCTGTGTCTGCCCAGATGGATCCCAGCTGTCCGCAGGCTGGCAGTGTGCGCTTTGAGATCAGTCTTGCTTAGGAAGGATCACATCTGGGGCTCCAGACCCCCTGGCTGTGCTCACTTGCTGGTTTTTGGAGTCTGACTGCCTCTTAAACTACATCACCATCTGTTAAACATCAGTGTTTAAGCTGGTTCAATCCTCAGTGGTGTGTTTCCTTCCTATCTTTCCCTTTCAGAAAAGGGGCTGGGAAGACGGCTTGGTTAGCACTTGCCACATAAGTACAGACACCCGAGTTCACTTCCCAGCATCACGTGAAAAGCCTGGTCCAGTAGTGCATGCTTGTAGTCAAGAATAGGGAAAGCAGAGTTGGGTAGACGCCTAGGGCTCGCTGGCCAGCCAGCTTAATCATCAAACCCCAGATTTCGGTGAGAAACCAAGCCTCAACAAGGGGACCGCTCCTGTGTTGACCTCTGGCCTCCATGCACACCTGTACACACATACCAAGAAAGGAAAAAGGGTGGGGGCCTCAGCAGAGGGAGTGGGGATGGCCCCACAGGGATGGGTACTGCTCTGGGCAGCACAGCCTCTGGAGACTGCTGAAAGGACAGTTGCTTGGGAAGGATCTGTCCCAGAGCGAAGGGCCAGGCGCTCACAGACACCGGGAGCCAGGGCAGCAGCCATCAGGGTATGTCTCTGCTCGGGTGGAGACTGGAGGCAGGAAACAGGGTTAAGCCAGGGGCAGGGGTCTCTCCAGGACCACATGGAATGAAATTGGAAGCTGGGTCAGGAGGGTGAGCTGGTTCAGACACTGCTGGAGTGAAGAGTAGAAGGTGGTGACCAGGGTTGCTAGGATACAAAGATTGCAAGAGGGCAAGTGGGACTCTGAGTATCACACAGAAGATGGCAACACCTGAGTGAAGGGATGTGCCTGGGAGCCCACACATCATGTACAGCTGAGCTCACAAGGGGCGGAGGAGGGGGAAATTAGAGTCTTGTCTTACAAGGCTGATTTAGAAGTCCAGATGGCCAGTCTTGGGACAGTTCTCAGTGCCTCCGTGGCACTGCTGGGCAGAGACGAATGAAAGGCCAGGCAGGGTTAGAAGGGGGGCAGACACTCAACCACTGGCCATCCTCAGAAGGAAGACCTGAGAGCTGCCCTGTGCCAGTGCCTCTCCCAGATCCCGCCATCTGCATCCACTGTGGGCAGTCATGTGACACATCAGAGACTCGACCTGGGGATAGCTCAGTGAGTAACGTGTTTGCCCTGCAAGTATGACAGCCTGAGTTCAAATCCCTAGAGCCAATGGAAAGCCAGACACCATAGCATGAGTCTAACCCAGGCATCCTGAGGGACAGGAGACCCCTGACAAAACTCACAAGTCACTAGTGGGACCTACGCAGTGCTGGGAAATAAAGACATCCTCTCTCGGACAAGGCAGATGCTGAGGACTGGTACCCAAGCTTGTCCTCTGACCTCACAAAGGGTTTTGTTTTATTTGTCTTTCTTGAAACAGGGTCTCACTATGTAGCCCTGCCTAGCATCAAACTCAGATTCGCCTGCTTTTGCTTCCTGAGCACTGGGCTTAAGATAAAATGTTTTAAAAGATGTTCATGGGTCCTGTACCAACTGACAGTCTGCAGTTGGGGCCAGGCTGAGAGACATCTCAGGCCTACAGCCTCAGCACATGGCTTGTCACAGAAGGCACAGAGCCACTGGCCCAGTTACCCAGTCCTCTCAAGCAGCTTTCAAGTCCCATCCAGGTGCACAGCCACATGTCACCTGTCATCTGGTGTCACCTGCACTAAAACGGACCAGGCTCTTCCCCTGGACCCTTCAAGAGAATGGCACTCGAGGGTGGCCAGTGTTGGCCTGTGCCCTGCTCTCTCTAAGCGGTTTCTCTGAATGTGCCTATGAATGGACCACACCTCCCACTTGGTCCTCAAGCACCTCTGCCTACTTCTGGGCCTCGTGTGAAAGGCTAAAGAGCCCTTGCTGCCACTCACTGAGCTACTGAGGCCTCACATGCGTGTTACCAGAGTAAGATTTTTCTCTTATCATTTAAATATACATCTATTATAACTCCAAATTAGTTCACTGTCCCACCCTGGGCTAACAACACCCCAGCCTCAAGAGGGACACCCCAGGCAAGGGTCTCCATCACTCCAAAGTCCTAGAGAGACTCACAGACCCCACGGCATATTCAGTGTGACCAGGAATCCAGCATGCTCAGGCCGAAATCTGCGGATTTAGTTCAGACTCTGTTCTCCATATGAATGAAGTGGGGCTCAGAGTTGAATGGGCAGAGCCTGAGCCAGCGTGAAGCACCCAGAGAAGTCCACATTTCCATGTCTTCTATACACATCACCTCAGAACTCTCCCGGAGGCTTTAAACTGCTCACCCAGATGAGAATCTGAACGTCTGAGTTAAATCCCAAACTCACAGAAACCAAACCAAAGTGCCAGCACTCTCACTGGAGGGGCAGAGATGGGCAGATCCCCGGAGCTCACTGGCCGGCTAGCTTACTCAATTGGTGAGCTTCGGATAGCAGTGACACCCTGTCTCTAAAAACAAGCTGGACGGCTATGGAGGAGGTGGAGGGACTGAGGGACACCATATGAAAAAGTGGCCAAATGGGTGGGGCAGTCAGAAAATTGGTGAGACTGCGTGTGGAAAGCCTCACTGACAGTCTGGCAGGTGTCCGTGCCAGCTGGACAACTCCCCTCACTTATAGAAAAACAAAACTGAAAAACTTCACAGGTTCCAAGATGGGAACAACTTAAGGTTCTCTAAGGACAAACTAGCCCTCAGACTCTATGAAGCTGAGAACTCAAGGTGACGGCAGGGGCCAGCACACAGTGGCCTCCCTACTCCACACCCATGAGCACTAACAGCATCAGGGAGGCAGAGGGCTTGCCTTGGTAAAGGCTCAAGTCAGACACAGCCTGAGCAATCATGCCAGCAGAATCCCCTCGAGACTCTCACTCACCCGTGTAGACACCAGTGACAATGTCTCCTTCCTCGGGATGGGGGCTGTCTGGGACCCAAGGCTCTTCTCCTTGTTCAAGGTGGAAGATCAGATCCGGCTTGGGAATTGGGTATCCTACCCAGGAGAGGGAAAGATGGTGGCTGTCCCAATGGAGTTCAGGCTATCCCTGTCCACACCCAAATCCTTTGCTCTTTACCCTCCGAGGACCATCCCTCCCCACAACCTCTGCTCTGAGAGATCCTACGATCTGTCCCTGGAAGCCCTGCCTTCCACACCCACAGCAGCAGGATACTCACACTTTCTCCTCCCACCTAAAGGCTTCTGGGGCTGTGCAGCTAAGAGGCCAGAGTGGACCACCAGCTTCATAGCATGTCTCCACCTGGTTTGGACCTCCAAACCCGGCGGCCAGAATGGGCTGACTGCTCCAAAACCAAGAAGTGTTCCCTTCGACAGCTGGGGCCCCACAGATCCCACAACGGACTGCCCCGGGGTCCTTCCTTACCCAAGGAGACCAGGATCCCATAGTTCTCCTGCATTACTTCCCTGTAGAGGTCTCGCTGGTCCACATCCAGCCTCTCCCACTCCTCCAAAGTGAAGTACACAGCCACATCTTCAAAAGTCACCAGCCCCTGAAGCACAGAGAGCCCCAGGAGAGAGGTTGAGGGAACACTCTGCCTCCAACACCCACACGAGATAAGAAAACATAGTGGGGACATGGCCCAGCACCCCATTATTGATGGGACAGCAGTCTCTCAGGCCTCTCACCCTCTGACAGGGACCCATCTCCTATCCCTCAAACTCAGAGAGGGCAGGCCCCTCTTACCATGGCCCCTCCTATGTCACACAGACTAGTCTTGGCAAATACTTTGGCTATATCGGCAGCTTAGCAATGGACAGGTGGTACCAACTAAACTGAGTCTGGGTACTGATGTCTGACCCAACAGCAGGAAAACAGACCCCAGGAGGGGACAGTCATTCTAGAAGACTCCAACCTGACTTGGGAGTGGGCTGGGGACAGCCACACCAAGTACAGTTGAGTGGGAGGTAGCAGGAGTACTCAGAACAACATAATGGCCTGGGAAGGGCCAGGGACCTGGAAAACAGAACCATATAAACCCTGGTCCTGGAAACTAAAGCCTTGTCCTCACTCAAGAGCCACAAGACAAAGAGGGCCCAAGACCACGGCCGACCAGTGTATATGCAGTTCACCTGAGTCAGGAAATGCTCAACATCTTCCTCTTCCTCCTCTTCCTCTGGATCTTCATCCTGAATATCAAGTGAGACCCGGGAGGCCTGCAGGGCTGAGAGGAAAATTGTTTAGGGCCGGCGGCACCTGGCTGTCAAGCAGGGTAGTACTCTGGGCTACTCCCATACTTTAGGCCCAGGTCCAGTCCCACCCTCATGACCCCAGCCTCTTCTGTCCCCCAGCAGCGGTGGGGTCCTTGTTCCTACCTTTTCCTTGAAGAACTGGCGACTTGACATCACTGCTGTTGCTTAGCTGCTCCTGGGTCCCCAAGCTCAGCCTCGGCTCCTTTGCCAGCCCCTCCTCCACACTGTCGGCACCAGCAGCGTCCTCTGAGTTAGTCTCCACCTCCACCTCCTGGACCTGTGTGGCCACTTCCTCCTCTTCCACTACTACCTCTTCTGCTTCTTCCTCCCCCTCTGCCTCCTCTCTCCCCTTCTCCTCATCCCCATCCTTGTCAGGGTCAGCATCACATTTTGACCCATCTTCTGCAGGCTCCAGCTGGGTAGCTCGGGAGTCTGGAGTAGTGTGAAGGGCGGCCATCAGCCCTAGGAGAGAGCCTCTGTGTGGCCTGAAACACAGAGACACTTTGCAGGGGAGGCTGCAAGGGCTGAGGGAGGACCATGGTCTGTCTGTTATCTCAGGCTGGGCAACTGGCACGTGATTTATCCAGAAAGCCCACCCAAAGGGCTCCTCCCCACAATCCTCTACGACACGCCTTCTGTTCCCTCACAAGCAGCCATGGGTCTTGTGTGAGCTGCAACCTATTCCTGGGTAAGCCACCCATTACCGCAACCCATCGATCCTCAAGGAGGAGAAGCACGGAGCGCAGTCAACAGAGCCCCAGGGATCCATGGGTACAGATGGGTGAGTGTAACTTACAAGGGGCAGCCTGTCCCACACAGAAAGCAAAAACGAGCAGCTTACCCAGCCCTCAGCACACATGAGCCAGGTCAGGCCGAAGCACTGTCAGACCGGGGTGGGGTGCAGGATGGAAGAGTGTCTTGCTTCGTCTTGTCAGGAGAAAGGAGAGAGCGCCCAGCAGCCAGCAAACTCTCAGCCCCTTCCTGGGAGTCAAACGAGAGACAGGGCCATGAACAGGGGCCATTCTGCTGCCTATCTTTACCTGACTCCAGGCTGTTGTGAAAATCTCAGCCTCTCAGGGAGGAAGAGTCCCACTCATCACTAGGTCAGCACAGGTGATGCACAAGGTGACAACTCCTTCCAGTTCAAGGAGAAGAGAATAAGAATGGCTGAGATGTCATCACCTTGGAGACTCACAGGGTCCTATTACCCCAGCGATGTCACCGACTCAGTCCAGCCTCACCTGGCCTGAAGCCTAGAGCCATGGGCCTCAGGGGCCAGTCCCAAGGGTCCTACAGCCACTAATCCAATCCATGTCTATAAAGAACCAGTCTAGTGAATCTCAAACGCTGGGAAGTTACGTGTCTTTTAATTATCTTTTTATTTGTGGAGTGGGGTGCGTGTCATGTCAAATGTGTGGAGGGTGGAGGACACCTTTCAGGAGTCAGCTCTCTCCTTCCTCCCCACTGGGTCTCAGGGATCAGACTCAGGTCATCAGGCTTGGCAGCGAGTACCGGTAGCTGTTGAGCTAGCTTACTGGTCCACTGTGGTTTTCAAGAATTCATTGCTATGATCTTTCACCATCATGTCACCTCTCCTGTTAGTACTTCAGACTTGAATGGGACCATTTTCAAAAGTTGGGCATGCCACCCCAGAATGCTGAGTTCCAAAAAGATCCAGAAATGCCAGGCTACACCAGACACTGGAGCTACCTCGGTGGACAGCACTGCCTCAGGATGCTTAAAGCCAGATGGTAGCAGGTAAAGCTGCCCCGGGCCATGAGAAGTCACTGTTCCTGGTATTCCCATGGACACACCTGAGTGGCTGGCTCCGACTAGGCTCACCTACCCCATCCCCTTTCTGTTCAGACATCTGCTTCCAAACCTATGCTCTGGGGGTTGGATAGATGGCTCAGCAGTTAGAAGCACTGGCTGCTCTTCCAGAGGGCATAAGTTCAATTCCCAGAATCCACATGGTAGCTCACAATCATCTGTAACTCCAATTCCAGGGGATCCTATGCCCTTTCTACCCTCTATGGGCACCAGACAGACAAGTAGTATACACGACATACAAGGAGGTAAAACACTTATACACATAGAAAAATTTAATTAAAATCTATACTTTGGGAGGTAACTGTGTCTGCTTTGCATGCATGAAAACCTGAGTTCGCTCCCCTGAACGTCCAAGTTGGGCCTGATGGTATACGCCTATAATGCCAGCACTATGAAGACAGAGACAAGAGATTCCATGGCACTCGCTGGCCAGCCAGTGTGGCCAACACAGCAACTGAGGACACCTGGCATTGACTTCTGGTCTCCACATACATTCATACACACCTGCACACACATAAACAGGGACACACTCCATACACTAAGAAACCAAACAGAAATGAGCAGTCAAAAAGTCAAAATAAAATAAAAAGAATCCCATACGTTAGCAGCTAGACCTCCCTGAGCATCCCTGCCCATGCCGCCACCCCCCAACCCAATCCAAGGGCTGACACTCCTGACATCCAGAAGTCCCCTCTGCTGTGACTGTCTGTTCCCTCAGCACTGCATCAAAGATTGAAGCCATAAAACTAGACCTAAGAGGACCACTGGAGCCCTCCAGGGCTCTTTAGGGTTGGAAGATGCCTGAAGGGTAAGAACACACACGCCTTGGGCTGTCCTGGCCAGCATCCAGGGGCACTGAGAACACTCAGGGAGAGATTTCCCAACCACCACCCACCTCAGACCTAGAGAAGGCCTTTGCTTACTCAGGCCTAAGGCTGTAGATTCAAGCTGAACCCAGACACCCACAGAACTAACTCCCGACTGGTCACCACCTTGGGCAGCAACTTCAGACTTCCTCAAGCCAGACTATTATCTGTAAGGACCCAAGAAAAGAAAGCTGGGGCTGTGGAGGAAATTCAGCTAGTCAAAGTGCTTGGCCACACAAGCATGAGGACCTGAGTTCAGTCCTCCAGCAGCTGTAGGGGAAAGGAGGGAAAAATGCCAAGCACAGCACCGTCTATCTGTAAACCCAAGCCCGGGCAGTGCTGGCCAGGCAAAGGGAACTGGGAAGCCCCGGGTTCAGAGAGACACTGCCTCAAATAAGATGGTGGAAAGCGCCTAAAGCAGAGACCTGATGCCGCCCTCTGTCATCTACACGCACACTTGTGTATATGCACATGCATGCACAGACGCTCACACAAAACTGTACAAACACTATACACAAAGAGGAGGAGGAGGAGGAGGAGGAGGAGGAGGAGGCAGCCCATCGTGGCTACCTCTCTTCCCAGGTAGCATCCACGTTTTCTTTACTGAAGATGATATAGAGTCCCCATTTTCTTCCCCCGGGATCCCAGACACACAGCGGTCACGCCAGACCCTACTGAAGACAGGGCCCGAAGATAGTAGTCAATGACACAGATACAGGTTTGCTTTGTCTTTTAAGTCAGAGGCAGGGCTCAACTGTCACACTCCACAGCAGGCCAGCCACGGATTGAGGGAAGGATACATCAAACTAAAATGCACCCCAGAAGCAGTGGAGAGTCTCTGCCTTCAAAGAGGACAGTGGGTAACATCAAATTCGTGCACTAGCCCAATGATGGTTACTGTTATGCACTTGACAGGATCTGAAATCACAGAAGAGAGGCCTCTGGGGTGTCTGTGAGGGAGTTTCTAGGTCAGGTTGATCGCGGTGGGAAGATCCTCTCTCTGAACGATACCATCCCCTGAGCTGGGGTCGTGGACTGAATAAAAGAAGCAAGGGAGCTGAGCACCAGCGTTTTTCTCTGTCTGCTTCCTGACTGTGGATACAGTGTGACCAGCTACCTCAAGCAATGGGCTGTGCCTTTAAACTGTGAGCCTAGCAAAAGCTTCCTCTCTTAAACTGCTTGTCAGGTCAAAGCAAGGAGAATGAAACTATTAAAAGCCTCTAAGGTTGCCCGGGGTGGTGGTGGTGGTGCATGCTTTTAATCCCAGCACTAGGGAGGTAGAGGCAGGCAGATCTCTGTGAGTTCGAGGTAATCCTGGTCTAGAGTTCTAGGGCAGCCAGGGCTACACAGAGAAATCCTGTCTCGAACCCCCTCAAGTGAGCCTCCCCCAAAAGAATCCTCTAAGGTTAGCAGTTCACAGGAAGAAAGGGCAGAAGCCAAGAAAAGCCTGCTGCTTCAGGCACCCTGACCTAGGCCTATTCCTAACAGAAGTTCTGAAAAACCAGTCAGACCAGGGGTAGGTAAGTTAATATGCCTACAACACGGACCCAGGGGGCTCCCCACCTCCCCGGATATTCCCACTCCACTCATCCCCAGCCAATCAGTTCCCAGAAAGCTTTTCTTCTCACCTCCTCTTGACCTCCCATCCTATATCAGAATGCAAGAGACAAGTGCATGGCTTTGCCATGCAAAAACCCTGTGTCACTCCAACCCCTCTTTCCACCAAGGTCCCCAGCCTTAGTGGACTCAGGGCCTTAGTGGACTTAGCAGACACAGAAAGGGGCGGGGCCCTGTCCATAAGAAGGGGGTATGCAAACAAGTGGTAAAGTTTGAAAAGTTAGGAACTCCAGAAAAGTTCCCAATCCAGGGGAACCCACGTGAAGGAGCATGCCTGTGTGTGCTCGTGCACATGCATGCACACTTGTATCTAGTATACTTGTATCTAGTGACCTTCATTCCAGCTCAGTGCCCCCCACTTCAAAGGACTTCAGAGCCCTTCAG